CTTACGGCGCCCAAACTCTTCATGACGGACGCTGGTAGCACGTGGGGTACGGAACCGCTGGACTCGTGGCGCCAGCAGGAACAACTTCCAGCCATCGCGTTTCTTGTTGGTGCCCGGGGCATCCCGGATCGCCTGGAGCACAAAGCACGTGGCATTCCGCAGCATCCCGCGAAGCTGGCATGGTGGCAACTTGAAAGCTTAAACCCGTTCGTGTACCTCTTGGGGAGACTGACGTCCCGCATGTTATGCAGCAATGCTCGGTGGCAAGCTGACGCGGTTTGCTCGCGGCTGGTTGTGTTGCGAGCCTGTATCGCATCAAGCCCTCCATCTGGCCCACAACCGGATGGGGCATGACAGTTCACAAGAAGCTGGTATTCGTCGCGGTTCGAGTGTCCAATTGTGTTTTAATTACAGAAAGGTAGCCGCTCGTGTAAATGCTTTTTCCATGTGACACGTGTTTGATTTTCCTTGCAGGGGGTTTCCAGCAAATTTGTATGTGTGCATGACCACGGTTTCGGGATGTTTCGGGGTCGGTTTTACTATTAGATCCTGCTTGTCGGTGCGAAAGCCGGGAACAGTATCTGTGACTCCACCCTTCCCTCCCATGTTAAGCAATGTAAGGCAGCCAACTTTGTTTGAACATCATCCCTTCGCAAAAATGAAAAATCTTGTGCCAAAAACGGTTTCGCAGCTATCCCATGCCATCTGCTATCCATCCAGCCCGGGCATGGCTGTGCCTGATGCGGATTTTTTTTGTTGTTGTGCGCATGCGTTGCCACACGCCCCCGAGACTGGACTGTTGCATGAATTTGGGGACCACTGCTCCTGCGCCTGCCCGACAGGAGGGCCCATTGGAGCGAGGTGGCAACAATTGTGGCTTTACAGAACTTGAATCTCGATGTGTCGGCGGGAAGGCACCCTATTGAGGTCCCGTCCTTGCATGGCTCTAACAAAAATAGATCTGTTTGTATCAGCGGAGTGATCAATGGACCCTTTACCCTGACCATCAGTCCAATGCCAACGGTTGTGGCCCTGGTCAAGGGCAAGCGGGCGCGCAGTCGGCTCCAGGGGGGACATTACCGTCACGTTCGACTGTGCTGACAATCGTCGCGTGCCAAGGCGACCCGGCCGCCTTGCCAGATTGGAATCTTGCCAGAATGGGCGGCCGTTCATGCAGTCCACCCCCAACATGAAAAGGCATGTTCTTCATACTTTGTGTGTTTGGACTATCTTCCGGGAGAACAGGTTTGTACGAGGGGAGGTTTTCTGCACCTTATATGCGCATACGGCCCACACTCCTGACTGGACTGTAAGCGAGCTTTTCTGGGAAAGCTACATTGACAAGATTCCTGACCCAGAACCACTTTATCTCAAGGGAGATTTCAACGAAAGCTAAGCGCGTGGAATGCGGCCGGGGAGGACGCGCCGGGCTTGGTGGTGGTCTTGCCGGATTCCGACGGGGACGCGTCTTGCTGAAGGGGAGTTGGGCCCACCAGCCCGGGGCCGAGAGCTGGTGATAGCAGGACTTCGATTGTGCGGTGTCTGGCAACCTTGCTGTCGAGGGATCGGCAAAGGAACATCGCGGGCCTGTTGGGCAGCCACCGTCACTCCTCTGCGAGAGGCGCAAGGCCACCACGCTTGCAACGACGGGCGGCCGCGGCCAAGGGCTGAGGCGAGGCCCGGGCCAGCGTTGGCAAAGATTGTCGTGCGCAAACACACCCCCAGACGTTCCGCGGGGCGTTGGCGCTGCGGCAGCGGCTCGTGAGGGCTTGCACTGGACGGCCGGCCGCGCCCAGGCAGCTGCAGGCCGAGCGCTGGCCCTGCGGTGGACGGCCTTTGCAGCGCTTCGCCATGCGGGCACTCGCGCAGATGCTGCTGGAATTGCCGGCGCAACCCTTTGACGCCAGCAATGGGGTTGACGTTTTCTGAGCGGCGAAAAACGCATTGCGCTCTGCACACGTGTGCTTGCTGACTTGGAAGGCCGAAATGGTACGGTTGTGTCCTAGCTAGACTTGACATCCCCATGGTGTGTTTGCTTGGTTATTCCATGATGTGCGATGTAAATGAATATTTTCAGCCTGACTGACCATGACCCATGGTCGTTGACCGACCTGTCCCTTGTTGATGTAGGACATGGACTCAACTGTGTGAGTTGTGTGGCGATGTTACACTGGTCCCCGCGCTGACACATCCCGGGCAGCAACAACCGCGCGCAGCGGCCACGCACGACGCAGCGTTGATGATGGCAGAGCGCAGCAAGTGCGTGTTGTACCCAGAGGAACCCAGAGCCCAGCACGGAAGGCGCGCAGCGGCAGCGGATTTGACCCAGGGGTCGTGGGCCGGTGGAGCGAAGGAACGTTACGCTTCATGCGCGGTCTGGCGCGGGTCATGGCCCAGCGCTCTCCGTACGCCCCCTTGCATGGCCGCTGGTCGCGAAGGTTGTCCAATTAGGCGGTCTCATTGCATTAAGCCGTTGCCGGGCAACACGGGCACGTGGCTGGTGCCCGCTTGCGCCAACCATAAACACGGTCTCGAGCTCGAACAGGTCCTCCATGGTGGAATCGTAGGGACCCAGCAGGCTCGTGGTCACCGGCAGCCGATGAGGAGACATGTGGCGGATGCGAAAATATGCGCAAAAAAAGAGTTGCGTTAGCGTTCAGCTCCAAAAGCAACAAAGATACTGTCAAAAATGCGCGAAAAATTGCAGCATTCAGACAATGGAACGATCTTTCACAGTGCATTACGTTTTGTCCCAACCCCCCGGCCGGTTGCTGGGTTCCTGAATTTTAGAATCCTTATGTTGTCACAGTACATGCAATACAGACAGGCGATGTTGCTGAGACGCATCGTTATGTTCTGTCACTAGGTATCATGCAAAAATGATAAAAAAGGCAATTGCCGACGCGTTTTTTTTTAACCGTTCGACCAAAATATAGATTTGTGTCAGCAGCATGGGTCCTGAAACAACCGTCTTGCGGTCAGTAATTACAAAATGAAACAACACGAAAACATGGCAGGTGAGCCAGCCTGCGTTGCAAGGATGTGGTGGCCACATGCGGCTCCCATGTGCTTCCATTGCGCGAAAGGGAGCAGCATCTGGCAAATTTCAACTATCGTTGTTTTCGGTGATTGGCTGATTGGCTGATTGGCTGAATGACTGGCTGACTAATTGGCTGACTGATTGATTGGCTGACTGCAGGAGTGCGGGATTGATCCATTGATTGACTGATTGACTGGTTGAGTGGCTGACTGACTGACGGCCTGACTGATAGACTGACTGATTGATTGACGGACTGACTGACTGACCAGTTGACATTTGTTACGATTTTGGCCCATGTGCCAGAGAACACATGGCTTCCTCGTCGTCGCAAATTTTGTCGCAAAGTGCGAGTGGGCGAAAGTTAAGAAAAATGTATGTGATCTTGCAACGGGCCATAGATGGCAGTTTGTGACACCGAATTGTACCAGACATATGTGCGGTGTGTTGTGAGCCGTTTGCTTCGTATCCAGGTGCAACGAGTGACCTTTGTGCAACCCATGCCAATGACCATGAGTGGTCACAGTCACAGGGATTGAACGACACACGTTTCCGAGCAGGTAGTAAGACATTACCGTATGGTTCAACCGTATTCATCATGTCGGCGGAATAACAACCACCGGCAAACAATTCAAACAACACCCAACACAAACTGATCACTGGAGAATTGCTTCGAGCATCATGCCCGCGTTGCTGGAAAAGATTGCAACCCTCGAGCTTGAAATTGCGAGGCGCCACATCATACGCTTTCTGTTGGGCAACCCCATTCCCAGCATAGCAGTCCGGACATGCACCATTCGACTTGCATCTCATGTTCAGCGAAGAAAATGAAAGCAATCGCATGCTCAGGGCCGAGCCATTTGTTGTGTATGTGGATGATGGTGGCGACACGTTTTGTGTGTCAGGACGCAGAAAAACAAAGCCACCGCAAAACACCTGGGAGTTTCGCAGCTGCATTTTTTTTTGCCGAGCGACATCCATTTGGAGATTTGGGCCACTTCCATTTGCGTGACGTGTAATTTGGTCAGTTGTTATGCTCGTTTGTGTTGGTTGCAGGACGCAGGAACCAGTACAGAGTCGCAGGGCATCATTGGATATCACGGGCTAGTTTGTGCAGGTTTCTCGGTCTCTTGAGTGAGCAGTGCCATGACCGAGTGATCATATAAGGGCAGCAGGAGAATTTCACAATTTCAAATGTTTCGCTTCAACAGTTCAACATTCTTCATTCAGACGCGTTTCCTGACCACATATATGCATGTGGTGCTCAGGACCTGAAAGCGAAACTTTGCGCAGCAAGAAGGGTGCTTGGCTTGACATGGCGGGTAACTATGAGCATCAATGTGGTCACGCACATGCATGTCCTGGGGAGACATATCAAAACATGCTGCAGTTTACAAATGCGTGGTGCGACCGTGGGCTCTGATTTTTGCACTGGCCTTGCAGTCTAAATGGCTTGCGCTGCTGAGGAACTCATCTCCCCAGATAAAGCCGGTGGGGGTGGCAAAACCAAAGGTTTCGAGGCGTTGCTGACATGCAGTTTCTCCAGCCATGTGGGCGTAGTTCGTGTCAGGTTATCGTTCACAGAAGAACATGTCGTGAAAGCAGGTGCAAAGATTCGGGGATTCTCGAGTGGCACTCATTGGTTTTCCTTCCGTGCCGAGCCTGGCAATATTCTGAATTCCCCGCTTTGTTTGAGAAGTGGGCTCCGCAAACATGACCAAGGTCGGGAAGTCATCGCTTTTGACTGCCTTGACCGGGGTTCAGTCCGAGGTAGCGCAACCAAACGAAGCATGTAGCCAGCATGTAGCTTTGGAGGCCGCCCGTCTGGCATACGATGGCATGCGAAGTGTATGGCTTTGCCAGGCAGCCGCCTATGAGTTCACCACCCTCACGTGCATCCCAGGTTGCCCGCAAGACACTTTATGATTTTGTTTGTTTACCTTTGGCGCAGAAATTTGCAAAACGGGTTTCCAATGCTCGGGGCTGAGGGTTCGGAAGCTCCAAACCCTCCCCAACCCACGCCTCTACTTGCATCCTTGCAGGTGTGATAAACTACAACGACTGCAAGATTCAGCTTCTTGACCTGCCGGGAATCATCACCGGTGCGGCGCAGGGCAAAGGCCACGGTGCAGCGATTGCACCTGGAGTATGGTTGTACCAAGATTGTGGTGAGCTCGCACAGGTGGCTGAGTCAGTATGTGCGATGTCATATGTTTGAGTTGCCCTGCATGGTTGAAGGAGACATTTTGGGACAGACTCAGTTTGTCGGATTGCGAAACAAGTGGAGTCTTTGCATGGCTTTGCCATTGACATCCGTGCGACTGCGCAGCGCTCAACAACACGAAGCATGCAGCAACGACATTGTTGCTTTGTCACAACGTTTCCTTCCAGCACTCCTCACACGGGTCCCAACAGAAACATCCAAAAACATAATTAACACGCACAAGTCAAAGCTTTGAGCCAGTTGTGTTGAGACGTGATGAAGTTGATTTTTTTTGGTGTGTGTGGCGTCTGCTGAGCATGCGCCAGCCATGTGGAAGCTGGGCTGGGCGCTTGCAGGCTGGCCATCCCAATGGAGTGTTTCGAGTCGAAATCTATCAAGTCCAGGGAAGACACATCTCAAGATCAGGTTTTAACATGTTTTAGCTTTCTCGCACCAGTGTTTCTGTATTTGGAGGTCTGGTGCATGGATCCTTACCAGCTTCGCAAGCAAAATGTGGAGAGGCACGGTTGTGTGTTCGCAAATGTTTTGCTACATGGAGCTACATGGGCTTCATTGAAGTTGCCAGCTTTTACCCATGTAGGACTTTTCGGCATGATTTTTGCGCAATTCATCAAATTGAACAGATGAAAAGAAGTCAAAATCATGGTCAGTTTCTAGGTGCCCTAGACATGAGAGGCCCCAGCAAAAATTTATCCTTTCCCCCTAATATTAAAAGGCTCCCCCTTTAATGTATATAGTCCAAACCATATCTAATATTGGGGGGGTATGTATCGCACGACCCGCACAGTAGGCGGGGTAGATTAACATCTGCTTGCAGGTAAGGGTCTATTGACATTTCATGCACATCTAGATCCCAAATAGAATCGCATGCAGATTCTACTTAAATCATATTATACAAGCACTCAAACACAATCGAAATCTAGGAAATCAAGGAGATCCCTAATCTTTAGCAATCGTGCTAGTGGCCTCCCAAATTCAAAGGATCCGCGCTTCAGCCAACTTTACCTGTTAAACGTAGTCTTGGGAGTGGAATTCCCCTTATTTCATATTAGGTGGGTTCCCTAGTAGGGGAGAGGCTTGGTATGGAAGCCCATACAGGGGACGTGATTTGTCACAACTGCCACAGGTGCCTGACTTTGTTTTTTCCTGTTCCTGTGGTGCAGTTTTGGGCGCCAGACAGTGGGCATACGGGACAGTTTGGCACCCTGCGCCTTAGTTAGTAATCACAGTGATGATGAGAATAAAGATGATAATATGACAGTACGTCTAGTGCTTTGATAATTACTTCGGCGACACTGCGACTGCTGCTGCTATCATGGGGACCCCCAACAAGGGACACTAATTTGAGGACACTCTAAACCATGTATACTCCTATACAGTAGTTATAGAACCCGATTTACCCCTGCAAATTGGGAATCCCCCCAAATCCTAAATCATTCTTACCAGTATAGAAACGCTAACCCTGTACAGCCCTTTAAAAGGGAGCCTACAAAACCCTATTTACCCCTGTAAAGGTACCCGTAATTTTGGGAAGCTCCCATGTCTTTTATCAGTACTGTATCCGCAGAGGAAGGCATGCGGTGTGCTACTTGGCTTGAAGCAGACTTTCTTGTTTTAGTAGGTTTAGGGTTTTGCGTTTAGGCTTTAGGGGGAATATTCGGATATCGTGTATAGTTGTTAGATAGGGATAATAATAGCATATTCCATACTAAGAACAAGTAGGAAGGTGTGAGAGTAGCTTGCTTGTAGATCCCACAATGCGCGTTTGGGCAGGTTTAAAGTTTGGTGCCTAGAAAATTGCCATTGCGCGGGGTGCATGCTTTCCAGATATTGTCATCCAACTTTTGACATCAACTAAATTGGATTCTCATCGTGTCGTTTCCTTGGAGTTACTATCATTACATATAATGAGTAGTGCTGGTATTGTCACTATTGTTACTCCGATTATTACTGACATTGCAACGAACTTTCCGAAAAGATTGCAGACGTCGGTAGACCCCTCCAAAGGCCTTCAGAAAACAGCTGGCAAATCATGTGTGCATGCATGAGGGCTGATGTGTCCCAACATGATTCAGAAGAGAAAAGTGAATTCGATTGATGTCCAAGAACAGTGGCCGAAATATTTCTAATGGGGCCACATGGGGACCCCCTAAATTGGGACCGCTAATTTTGGGAAACCACCCTTTGTCATGGTCTCTGCACAGGCAGTTTTTTTGGGTTCACGAGACTCCTGGTCCAAAGCCGGGCTTCATAGAAGTTTGATGAAATTTGCACGAGATCGAACAGAACCATACCATGGAGGCGTGTATACGGAAGATACAAACAGTGTACGTGCTTGAAGGCTCTTTTGACTATGGGCCTTGCAAGAGGGATCATTGGGGAAAGTTGAAGAGCCTCGAAGCAATTACTGCCGAGGACGGTGGCGCGCGCTGCCTGGAGCCTGGCCAAATCTGCGATGGTTTGGCAGACTCTTGCTGCTAGCTAGTAGGGAATGAGCCCAGGGAGCCCCTTACACACCCTTAAACCATTGAAGGGATCCTGCGAGGGTTCGAAGTATTGGGCTCTTTGAGACGACAGGGAAGAAAACATGGAAATTGTAACATGCCAGTGAGTAGAACACTAACCAAGTGAATCCAGTACACTGAATGAAGGAATCTTCCTTACACCTTTTAGGGCTCCGAGCGTGATGTAAAGTATATTCCTAAATGCAAGGGTAGTGGGCTCCCTCGGAAGGCTTACAAAATTATACGGAATCTCCAATGTTGTTGAGGGTGTTATAGTGGCCACTATAGGGATTCATTCCCAAGGACTGCAAGGATTTGTCCGATGAAGCCGGTTGCCGGACAGCCCATGTGGATGCAGGCAGGCCCATGGGGACTGAGAAATCTGGAGAGCAGCAGTGCTACTCGTGAGTGTTGTGCGTGTCTTTTTTGGACAGATTTTAGCTTGAGTTGTTTGTCCTGTTCCCCTTGTTATCCCGGATGAGTGGTGGCCGGTCAAAGTGAGATGGATCTCGTCTCTGAGAAGGTGATGTCATGTCGTCTGTTGCAGCGCTGGAGCAGGCGGATCAGCTGAAAGCATCGGAAGAAATGCCTTTTCATGTCAGGTAGAATTGGGATTCTTTATATGGCCTGTACCAACATCACTTGCTTTATGAGAATTTCTGGTAGCTGTATTTCTGGTACCTAATGATTTGTGCGGTGTTATAGTCCCTCACCCCTCCAGAGTTGCAGGCGGATCAATTTCAAAGGTCTGGGAAAGGTGGGTTGTAAGAAAGGAATTAAGGAATTCGGGGACCGTACTTCTCTTAGATGGGTCGTGGTAGTAGTGGCAGTGCTAGTAGGAGTAGGCACCACCCCTAGGCAATACGCTCGTTGTAAACGTGTGTAGTTATCTGAAGAATAGTTTGGGTTAGCGTGGGTGGGGTCTAGTTACATACAAGCCAGAGGCATTTGTTAACCAGCCTCCCGCACCCTATAAGCTGCAGGGGAGGGGTGGGGAGGGGTACTTACGGACAAGCCAGAGGCATTGTTCAGCCATCCTCCAAGACCCTACAACGCCTGCAAGCTTTCCTTGTCACAAAAAAAGACTTGATGTCGCCAGGCGCTCAGCTCGGCGGCGAACTCTTAAGGAATCGCACAGGGAGACAGCGGAGCTAAACCCTAAACCCGTAAACCCTAAACCCAAACCCTGAACCATCAGCAGCAGAGCTTCCTGACATCTGCTAGCACTACCACTGTAATTGACTGCCTTCTCGGGGAAAGATATTACGACCTGATGATAAACGTGTAGCAAACCATAGTGCCAAGGGGGGGGGTCGGCTAGTGGCAGTGGCAGTATTTGTCATCATAGTCGTGGGAAAGGAGTCACCGTCATGAACGTCATGGCAGAGATGTTGCCAGACCAAATGGTTTTTACCCGACATGTGGCATACTATGGCATAGTCTATATGATGAGGATCCGAAGGCGCACCCAAAGTTGGAGAACTCCTTCATCTCCACAATCAGGGCCCCACAATGATACTAATGATACTAGCAATAGCAACGACAACAGCGACAACAATAATGATAACAATAATCTTAAGGGTAAGTAATAGCAAGAAGAATTACAGTTTTAATGAAATCCCCCGGTGCAGGCGGAGCTTGCTGCGACCGTGGAGCAAGCACATCAGCGGGTGGCTCGTCTCGGGCCCCTTACGGAGCCTAGGTGTATACAGAGACTACAAGGGGATCATGGGAATCCAGATTTGGGGATCATGTAGAGATCACACCCATGTGTCCTGACACTCCCTTCCAAGTTGTCGGGTGTTCCTTGCATGAGGACTTGAAGCTCCTTAGTGACTAGGCTTAATTACACTGGGCTGATGTGACTTCTCGCAGGGGTTGGAAAGCATTACGTGAGTCCACGGCGGAAGATCACAGACGCAGGTTCATGTCACAATTAAGATTGCAAATCATGTTCGGATGATATCGTATAGTCCCCTGTCACTCCCTTTTTAGCTGAGACTAGTAGTGCATTGGATTCCTAGAAAGTTTTCTTTAGCTCTTTATATAAGCCCAGTTTGCACTAGAATTTACATTCGATCCTCGAGTATTCTACACCTGAATCTCCTGCATGTTGATATCCTTATTCAATTGCCATATGCTCCGTTTTTCCCGACACCCCAAGCCAATCCTAAAACCCACCAACTACAATCGGCTTCGTTGCCTCCTTGCCTGGGCATGCAGGATGCAAAGAGCAGAAAGAAGGTTGACCTGGAGAAGACTCTCAAAGACTCTATTTCTCGAGAGACACAGCCACTTGTTTGGTTCTCATAATTTTGTGCATTTTTTGCGTCTTTTTGACCACACTCTGGAATAGGGAGTGTCCTGGGGGACAGACTGAGGCACTGATCTTGGAAACAACGCGCTAGCTTTTTTGTATGGTTCCTGCAGACTGTAGACTATGGAGCAACACAAGCCACCCCACGCTTTGACATGAGCCTCCTGACACTG